TGATGGCCACTTGAATGCAGTAATAGAGGCGCCAAACCGGCCGGACTTAAACGGCTCCCTATTGTGGGACTGAGTAATGGCTGATGTCTTTTTGGGGGCGGAGGACCCAAATCCCTCTCTACCGTTGAGTCGTTAAATCCATTTTCTTTTAGTAATCTATAAACGGATTATAAGATTATGCGATTTCATTTTTTATAACATCATTAATGTTTAATTAAGTCAATAAATATTTAATATGTTTTCTGACAATTGAAATGCATTTTATATAATATACTGTATATAAAAATTAATTATGTTTTATGAACTCATGATTATTGAATGCTAATGAAAATATGATTGTTTAATTTGTTGTAAATATAATAATTAATCTATTCATACATTTCAGGCGAAGTCCGTCTTTTAGTTTGCATTTCTTTTTGGGGTTCATTTCTCTGAAATATTTCAAACGGCTCTCCAATTGATAGAGGAGTCGATTGAAAGGTTGAATCCAATATTAAGGACTCGTGTTCTTTGAGATACTGTGCGGGACTTGTTTTGGCGAGTCGTGCGAAGTGTACGATATCTGTCTGAAGGATTGGCAAATGGAGTTTGAGAAACGGAATCACATACGGTCTCAACGGGTAGTTTGTTATCTCTTGGATTTTTTGATGAAATTCTTCAGTACTTAACGTCGAGTTCTTTGTGAATAAATGTATAGTATTTGTTAAAAACATATCATTATTTTTGAAATAAATATTCTATTTATTTGTAAAATACTTTGTAAATTAAATAATATTATTAACTTCACCAAAACTAATGTACATCTTTTTCTAAAAATAAATTAAATGTACATTTAATGGTGTATTAATTCAAAACAAAACATCTAGTTCTTTTGTAGACATCATTACGTTATTACAACTATATATTATATAAAGTGACTGTAAAACCTAATAATACTTCTGTATATTATATATGTGAAGGTATCAATATATTAGTGATAATTTTGTAAACCTTACCAAAATTACAATATTCTGTTTGAAAAATACATATACAGAGAACAACATGGAAATCATTTACTATTTGTAAATGGTATATAAAATACTTAATAACATTATGAACAAATACTGCATATTACAAATGTGTATAGTAAATTTTATTACAATTTGAAAATATAAGAAATTATAAATATTATATCTGATGTTACATAACATAAATTTTTAATCCTTCAAAGATATTCTTTGGAAAATGATTTGTATTTATATTCTGTTTATATTTTGCTATCATTGATATAATATAACATTTTCAATATGATTGAATTTTTAAATATTATTTATGTATGAATTTGTGTTCTTCTTATTTCAAATCCAATTCTAACTTCTGTTTAAATTGTCCTTAAAATATGCTTTTAATGTAATTACGAAAACATACAAATATGTTATGTATTTAACACATATCTCACGTCATTTCAATGCTGTCCAACACACGTATATATTCACCACATTTGCCATCAAAAACATATGATTTAAATGCTAAACCTTTAAATTCACTACTAATCCAACACAAGTTTAATTGTATTTCTATTAAAAAATAGCTTAAACTTGTTATAACAAAACTGAAATACAATTTCACATGATTTTATTATCAAACAAATGAACAAAACTCAATAAAAACTTCTTTAATAACATCATTTTCAAGGACTTGGCTTTTAGAAAATGATGGTTTTATGAAAAACAAATGGGAAGTAATTTATTTTATATAGAAATTCACCAAATTTTATTTGTTGTTATTTATTTATAAATAAAATATTAAAATATTTCTATATATTAGAAAGATAGAAAGATATATATAGAAAGAACTTGTTTAATTATTACTTAATTCGTGCTATTTAAAGGCATCAATTAAATATATTTTGTAGTAAATATAATATTTATTAATTAACCTAGTTGAAACTAATACACTAAAAACTATGTTTTCAAATACTTTTTACATTGTATAATCTGTAGTACAGATTCTGTACGTCCGTTACCCTGTTTATAATGAGACGTGATTAATATCTCACGTCTATAATTTTGAAAATATTACTCATTATAAACTAAGATATCACTAAGAACATTTAATTGTAAATTGTAAGCAAAAGTTTTAAAAACTATTTATAAGTTGTAAAAACAATGTATAAAAAACTTACGATAAGTCCGATAATGAGTGCTTTAACCCTATCTCCGACTTCGGGTGATATATCGACACCAAACTGATAGAGAGTGGATAGGAATCGCTTTAATTTACTGATCTGTCGGACACTCGACACCGAATCACTTGGGTTTGGATGCGAGCGGCAACTCATGTGAGAACTGGGAGGCGATGGAGAAAGTGATGGTTTGCCACTCTGTATATGATTAGGCGGCGAATGATTTCCATTTGTGTTGTTTGCTATTAATAGCAGATTTAATTATATTTTAAAAACTATATTCACATAATTTAAACAACAGTTTAACAAATGTTAATAAAATTTCGTACAGCTTTTAGGTATCAATCCATTTGAAGAGAAATTAGTTGTTTGCGGCGGAGAAGGTGTTGGGATTTGGGTTAACTTCACTTCTGATGGAGAGTTTGGCATTACATTAGAAGATTTAGCGATTGAACGAACAAAATCTGTACATCAAATAAAATCAATTTTTATAAATATAATTTAAATACTTTTTTTTATCAAGAATATTCTGTAAAACCTTTTTTCCAAACCGGCATTTCTACGAATAAAGTCATTACAACGAGAAAATCAACAACAAGTAATAAGTTTTGTTGATGAGAACTAAGATTTCATTGGATGGTATATATGTATAGTGTATATAACAAAAGAGGGACTTATATTCATATATGGAAAGCAATAATGAATGGCTTAAAATGAATTAGTTGTGTATAGGACTGAGAATTTTATAAATATTGAATTGTTGTTGAATACACATCTCAGACTAGTTCTGCCAATACAGTGGTTATACTGTAAGACAGGTAATACTCTCTCAACCTATACAGTAGTGCTTTATAATGAATAGAAATAGTATAGCGAAATAAAATAGTAGTTAGAGTATTGACGAACTCATACAACACCACTCATACACAGCTCTGATAATATGCAGCACAAAACGGGACTAAAACATCTGTGACACAATCATGTGAAGGTAACCACATGTCACTACACCACTCAATACACTCCTGGGTCGGCTCTCTCTCTCTCTCTCTCTCTCTCTCTCTGATGAATAAATGAAATGTCGCACACCATCCATACCCACATCGATTACAACACCAAATTCACACACAATATGCACTCCACTATTGCTCAAACTTTAACAATCATATTATGTTTTTACCTATTTATTAGTGTTTTATATTATATTTTACTATAATATGATATCAATGTCTAAATAAAGACAACACAAGAATAAGACGACATTGTTTATCATACAAAATAAAAATGCAAACATATTGTGTATTTTTGGTTTAAATATCATCATTTATAGATGATATCCACAAATGTATTATTTGCCATAAAATGGGATTAGAAATATTGAGAGTAATAAACATATGAAGCATTTGTTTCTCATAATAAGAACATAAAAGATGTGTTTTGTTGTCTAACTATTTGTCTTCTTCTTAGACTTTGAGCCATATATATATAATTGAAGAATATATCGATAGTATAGATATACTCTGTTTTCAGAGGCTTTTCTCCGCTCTTTTTCAAACTACAGAATATAGAAATAGTATTGTATTTTGTGTGTAAAGAAAGACTCCTGAAGATCTGAGTGTTTGAGTCGATAAATGGAGTAAAGTTTGTAAATTTAATTGCAAAAATGTCGGGAACAGAAACAGGTGTAAAGTATTGAATGAGAGAGAGAGAGAGAGAGAGAGAGAGAGAGAGCCGACCCAGGAGTGTATTGAGTGGTGTAGTGACATGTGGTTACCTTCACATGATTGTGTCACAGATGTTTTAGTCTCGTTTTAGACATTTCATTTATTCATCAGAGAGAGAGAGAGAGAGAGAGAGAGAGAGAGAGAATGTGAGAGAACTTCTAAATAAGTTTCTTATGTTTACGAGTTAACCAAAAAATTCATACAAAACTAACAGTACTTAAAGTTTTTTCAAACAAGAATATGTCCTTATGCTAAGGTATGGTATGTATTGCCTATCATTGCAATCAACACAAAACGTGAAGTATAAAATAGAGCAAAAAATATTGCATTTATTTATTTATTAACATTTACTACAAAACAGTTGCCGTTATTTTCATTATATTCTGAATTTTATTTTTATTTTTCAATTCAAGTATTAGTAATACTAATGAAACAAAACAACACAAAATGCTTGACATCTGTGGCATAGAGTGTACAGAATATGCAGTATATATACGTTCCATATATTCCTATCAAATGAGACGGTTTTTTATAACAATTATTTTCCCACAAAACCCGCATTTTTCACACACATAGCCCGCACTCTAACACAAGAGCCCTCACTCTATACCACATATTATTAATATTAATCACATTTTCATCGGATTAACCGATTCCTCGACTGTTTGCCATACAATATATTTGCTCACAAACTGTGAAAATGTAAAACTTTCACAAATGTTAGCACATATTATAATAGGGACTGCCATTCAAATGACCCCAAATATATTGAGCCAAAATAGGGGATCCCTAAACACTCGGATGTGATGTTTGTACTGTTTATGTCATCATTTTTGCATTCATTATTTCTAATTGCTTTTTGAAATACTATCGGAATTTTGGTACAAATCAAACAATTTTATTATACTTTAATAGAAATAATAAATTATTTTTAATATTGTTTTATAATATTGTATTAATATTTAAAAAACATATAACAAGCAGTTTTTTATTTATAAATTATGTAAATTAAACGTGTAAAGTGATTTTATGTAATATTAAGTTACAATAATTATAAGTGTGACTATTAGGGAGGGAAGCGATTGAATAACACATTTAGGAAGTATAGTATAGTATAATGTGTTTGGAGTTTACATAAACAGGAAGGACTGAAAAAGTATAGAATCCTTATTGGAAAATGTGTTTCACTATCTTTTTCGATAGTAATTGAGTTAATGTTTACTAAATTTAATACAAATATTAAACATAGTCTTGAAAGAGTGAATAGCGTTTGGCTGAAATATAACCTGAACATACGGTGTACTGCACTGTACAGTACACTGTATAGTATAGTACACTGTAATTGCACACAGAATATAGTGTAGAGAATAAGTGTGTAATATATAGCTGTGTTAGTGATGGCACACCTGTTTGTGAAACATTTGTCTAAACATGAACTCTTCCCAATCATTAGAAGAGTCGATCATTGATCAGCTTATTATCAGATATATTGTGTTTCATATAATTCATGCAAATATGAAGTGTGTTTTGAAGGCACCTGGGCTTCAACGGTGGCTCATGTGATCACCATTTGGTGTTATGTTGTATTCATTCGTTGCGTCACTCATGAAACACAGCTAAAGAAAACAGTTGTGTTTTGTTTGCAAATGTGTATACAATATATTAAGATATAAATATATTTTATATATAACTCAAATAGAGAGAGAGAGAGAGAGAGAGAGAGAGAGAGAGAGCGAGAGAGAGAGAGNGAGAGAGAGAGAGAGAGAGAGAGAGAGAGAGAGAGAGAGAGTTTGTGTTTAGAGCTGGCGGTAGAGTTGGGACACCTGTTTAATCAAATGTTTTTCACTGGGAGTTTAGTTTAAAAACTCATTGCAAACATTATCTCAAACGCTATGAACAATCTGTACAAACAATCTATTCATCAGAATTTGCAAAACGAGTCCGAGATATGGAAACAACACCTGAATTATCGCATCTATTGTTTGAGACAATTTGCTCATCCATTCAAACATTTCTCCTATCAATCATCATATTTAAGCACTCAATACATGAAATTCATTTCAATTTATTTAATTATATTACATATTAGTCTAATCTCAAAATTAGCACTTAATTTAAGGAATTTAATCAATTTTAACATAAAAGTGCAGAATTCGTTACAAATATCCTTAATGAAAGCATATATCATAACAATGAAGTTTTTAAACAAAAAATAATAATAATCTTTGTTAAGTTTTAAAGGAAATAAAAGCAAAAACACATTGATTACAATAACTTTCTTTAAAGTTATTTTGCAATTGATGTGTGAGTTATGCAAAGTAAGAGAGAGTTATTGTGAGACACATTCATTTGATACAATCTGTCGCATCCCCTCAGCTGTAAGGCATGCCATTGGCTCTAAAGTCTACATCACTTTTCAAAGTCTGGTATAAGACTTGAATTTTTTATAATTGAATAAAATGCCAACAAATTGTGCTTTGGATGCGATTCTGGCGAATGAAGCCATAAAAGTGAAGCAAAAAACAAAATTACAAACAATTTTCCCAAACAAACATTAAATATAATTTAAATTCTTGATGAAATTTTTGCAATTTCTATGTAAAACAGTATCGATGGAGATAATGGTTAAATTGAATGAATATTCAGGTAGAGTTGTGTAGAGTATTGTGAATACTTTATACGGTATAGCTTTGGGCTCTTGTATTAAAGACACGTTACAGTCACCCAAAGCTCAAGTCATTTAAGGCAATGGCATTTGAGTGTTAAAAACAGATTTCATATTTTCATGTCTGGAGAACAATAGGCAGTCATTGGTTTTTGTCAAATACAGCCGTCGAACCACTAATAGGGATGTGTATAGTGTATGGTATGGTGTGTTTTGTCGGGGCATTTAAGAGCAAACTATGCTATGGCTGTCATCACAAGAAGCAAAACGTGATTATGAGGGGAAAGCAATGCTAATGTAGAGCCAAAACTGCTATGAAATGCATTTGACAGCTCGACTCCCATTCATTTGCTGCCGTATTATGAGCTTTACTTAACTATTGAAACCTATTTAACCCTCTTTTTTATACCTTCGGTCTCAACACATGACAAATACACCTGATTTTACTCATAATTAAAATCAATAATTTCAATAAATCATTATTATTTTTAATGTTTAATAAGCAATAATTAAACAATTTGATTGCCTAAACTTTATCTTATTCTTAAAGCATATATGATATCAAAAGTACGAGACGTGAGATAACTATATTATAAATTATGTAAAGTTATAAAACGAGAAAAAGAAAAAAGTTTAATTACTTACACTTTTGTTCAAAGAATTAGAGAATTAATTGAGAATAAATCGTATTTGAAATGAGGATCACTTGTAAATGTGAAGCCAAATGATTTAAAACACAAAAACTAACATAAATTATATGTGTTTTATATGTAACACAAGAAGAAGAAGCGCTGGAATTGTGTTTTCTTAAAGTGATTCCGCTTTTCAGACAATCCGTATATAATATATAAGTGATGTGAATGTGTGAGAGTTTGCTTTAACACGTGCTGCTCTATGTCTGGTCTATTCTAGCACTGGTTGGCATCTGTTATGATGTGTTGTGTGTTGTGAAGCACTGGTGCCCTCATCTCATCTCATTCTCTCTCTCCAAACACGCAACTCATGCCTCGCTTTAATCGATTCTCGATTGAGAATAAGCACAAACACAGACAACACAGACAGACCTTTACAACCAGTGCCTCAACAAATATTTCGCTCAGAGCTTCAGTCACTCACATCCACTCCTCTCTTATATCATAAGAAATGATAGTTTTTGTATTCAATTTTACATTCAATATCATGTTTTACAACACTATCACATGTACTGTATTACACTGTATATCAATATTTTAAAAATCATATCAATTTTTAGATTATTATAAGAATTTCATTTTAAATTTCAAATACAGAATTATCCCTTTAAAGACATGTAAAGTGAAGATTAATTATAAAAAAAGTTGGCAAATACTGCATAACATATATTTATAAAAGTCATTAATTTTTAGATTGTATTAATGTTTGTTAAAGTTATAAAAATAAATTTTTGAAATATCACATAAAAACATTAGACTTTATGTTTGTTAAAATATAGTTAAATAATTTTTGTAATATAAATTACTGCAATTAATTTTGTTAAATATTAGAAAATTAATGCCAATTAAAATACACTTAAAAATAAAAACATTGATAAATACCTTTTTGTCCTTCAAATCCATTGCTTTCACTTAACTCTCTATTCAGTGAAAAATTATAGTTCATTTTGTGGGCCATTATTAGGGGCACAGAGAGAACCATTTGTAGGGTATGTCTGAAGTTATTCTACAATCAATTTGTAGTAAATTTTTATAAACAAATATTTCAATTAAAAAGATATATTTTCTTTGAGATGTTATGCAAAATGTATGTTAAATCACATAAAAGAAAAAACAAATCACTTATAAAATGAAGAGTAATTTACAGCACATTAAGACGTGAATCAGATCTGGTTTACGTCAACAATGTTTTACGATTTTGTGGTATTTTTTCTCTAAGAGTTGTTTGAATTTAATTTAGAAGAAGAGACACAAAACAACACTTAAACTATTGAAACGGGAGCTAAGGATTAACTTCGTATATACAGTAGTAATACTAATGTTAAAACATTTGCTTTAGAGTCGGGACTAGAATTGCAAAACAATTATATAAGACTAAGGAGTAGTACTTGAGCTGTAAATGCCAAATAAAGAGTGAGCGCCCGGAGCCCTGGGAGCCAAATGTTTTTGATTTGATGCCCAATACTCTTAGCCGAGTATTTGCGGTGAAGAGGGTCTGGTCTTCTGGTCTGTGCCAATGGTCTGGTATTATGTATGTGTTGTGTGTGACGACCGGTCGACACAAACTTAAACTCCAGATGTAGAGTACGTTCGCTTCTCAACACATATGTACGTAAACTGTATTACAGAATAGCGTCTGTGTGTCGATGTGGTCGATGTGCCCACACCTGCGAGACAGCTGTGTCTCCCAGTGCTTAAGCCTATGCGGCTCTGCCTGTGCTCTCTCTCTGTCTGTACTCCCGGTGCTCACCGCTCACTGGACTCAACGTTTTAACGTACTTTCGATTTTGTCATTTCACTCATACTATTCAATGCAGTTATGAATGATTTGTATGAATGGAGCGTTCATTGGCTTCATAGGCACCCGACGCCTGGGTTTATAGACCTTATCGACACTTTTATATTTATTTTCTACAATCATATATACAATCAATGCATTCGTATTGTTTGCCATGTATTCGAGACAATCATTTGAATGTTTTATACAATACTCGGCATTAACTCTAAGAAACAGAGCATTTCTTTCAGAAGAAACTCTGCAAAAAATGCTACTTTTCAACAAAATAATGATATCGTATCACAAAATGCATTCATTGTAAATAACTTTTATTATTTACTTTTCGCTATAAATATAGCATATATTGTGCGACTAGTATTCATTATTTCGATATTCTTTCAACAAACAACAAAAAATGAAACTTAATTTTTATTTCAATACACTTTAGGATTATTTTCTTTAAAAAACCAAATGAATAGCATTTGGATTACAGTGTATTTTCATATACAATAAAGTATTAATACTTAAGATTTATTTTTTGTGAATCCATGAGTTGAACATTTTATATGACATTTAATGTCAACGTTTTTCTTATCGAACTCTCGATGTCTCTCAAAAATTACAGTCAAAATCGATATTGTTTTGCATTAAAAGTGCATAAAAAATAGATTTATAATTCACGAGAACAACAGCTCTTTATATTTGAAAAACAATTAAAACTTTCTCAGGAATTGCAACACAAGTGAACCCAAAAAAGTTATTCTATTATATAAAACAATAAGTTATGGCATAAAACCGATCATAAAAATTGGTAAAAGTTTGAGAAATTAATTTTTTGTGTAATAATCCTTATGGCATAAAATGTTGTGTTAATGCATTAGCTTTAATATGGAATTTTCTTATCTCTTATTTTCTTAAATTTATTATTAATTTAATTTTAATTTAAAAAAAGAAAACAATTTTGTCGAACTAGTGATTGAATACAAGTAACATTTTTTATTAACTTTTAAATTAAATTAATTTCCATTATTTTAATAAAAAAATATTAACATTTGATTTGAAAATGTCGTAATATACATGTATTAATACTTTATATACTATGATAATAACATATGTTTTTTGTATTACATTAGATAAACAATGCACATTTGCAAACTGTCATGGTAATGATTAAAAAAGTGTAACAATTAAAATATATTTAAAAAATTTATAGTAATAATTTTAGAGATTAAGATGTTATTTGTATCTTTTGAAAAATATTATAATAAATAATCTTAAATTATTAAACTGAAATGAATCAATCAATTTAAGCACATATTCTGTTTTGTATGTCATGACATGTTTTTTATTTAAAAATTTGCAGATGACCACTCACGGCCAAATTATATATAAATCAAACAGTTTACAAATAATAGTTTATTTAAATGATCATATTATGTAAAAGAAAGTTATTTAGAAGATTGTTCTGTGTGTTCTACAAGTAAACACATACATGTATAAGAGTTGTGGTAATTGACCATTTGCAATTATCTGTTTCTAAATATATTCCTTTACATCAATGACATGGAAAACTAGAGCGCATTCAATACCTCTATATTCAAGGTTTCTTTAAATTTGTTATAAAACAGGAAAACACGTCTAAAAGATTACTTCATAGGAAATAACGTTTGCTTTGGTTTCTATTTTTGATAATTATTCTAAAGGGGTTTTAAAATCGGAACTTTTGTTTGTTTCAAATAGATATTTGCCATATGGTATGCATATGGTTATAGTCTATGAGCACATATGCTTAATGCCATACATTTTTTGCATACAAAAATTCCATCA